AATGGATCCACCTAATTGTTTTTCTACCCCGATACATCTTTTCAGCCAAGATGGGCAGATGTCAAGGTTGTGTTTATTGGGATGAACTGTTTTAAGTTTCCTATGTGGTGCCTGATAGAATTGAACAATGAAGACCTCTCCAAATGTAGTGTTTATTGTGAAGTCAATTTTTGAATGCCTGCAATTGTCTTTCTTCTCAAAGTGTCTAGCAAAATTTATCACAGCAGTTAGCCAAGGTGTCCTTGTCTCTCTGAGCCTGATCCTACTTCTCACTGCTCAGAAATAACTGGATGGCTTATGTGAATGAACATCCTGTCAGGTAAACAGGATGTAACCAGGCCTTTGATATTTATGTGTGGGTGTTGCTAACATGTAGGAATGAGGATGATCTGTTTGTATTTTAAATAAATGGAAAGAAATAGGTTCTCCTTAAGGTTTCCATAAGTTAAGAACAACTTGAAGGCTCAAAACTATTAAAATATTTAACGCCATGATCAATTATTTACAAAAATGTTTAACTATCTACTTTGCATTTCATTTAAATTGCTACACATAAGTTCCTTTGACAATGGAGTATCTTATCTAGCCAACCAATCTAATCAGAAAATAAAGATTTCCATATATAATTCAATGTTTTGTTTGCATGCCTTTAAGTCATTCCATAGTTTGCCCTTACCTTCCTCTGAAGATAGTGTGATGGCCAAGGCCAAGCAAGGATTTGAACCCTCGTCTCCATAGTTCAAACCAATACACTATTCTGGCTCTAATAATTCAATTTAATATGTGTGTATTTGTATTTGTTTATTTCGGTCAATGATCAGGAAAGATAGAATAAATAAAATAAAATCCAAATCAATACAATGCAATACTAAATATAGAATTACTAACAACATTAAATATAAGTGATTTATAGTATGTGTATATTGAACTTTCCTATTTGACAAAATAGATCACACAATTCAATAAAATCAGGTATAAAAGCAATGGTGGCTGAATAAAAGCATGCTGCCCAAGTCTTGGGAAGGGTCTGACCTTGCTGACTGACTGCAGCTATGCTTCAGGCACCCGTACTGGTAATTGACATTTTGCATGGTAGATAAATTTATTTGAAGTGCCCACATAGCTTTTCCCCAGCATGTTCTAACCACAGCCAAGCAGTTATCAGGAGTCATTTATACTGGTTTAATCATACCCCTGTGGACTGGAAGCAGGTTAGCTTTATTCTAAAACATCTGCTATCACAAACTGTGCAGACTTATTTGAAAATCGCCATTAATTTGTAAGCCTAAATCACAAGCTACTCTATTTAAATATATTCTGGTTTGTTTAATTACTATACTCATATAATTAATAGATTTACAACTGAACAGGAGGCATACTTCACTCTCACAAAACAATAAAACCTTGAAAAACACACACACCCTATATTTAACTGATAATTTGGAAGTGAAAATGTTCTCCTGTACAGAGGAGGGTCATTAAAATGCTGCCTTCTCTCTCATCAAGGGAGTAACCCTGGAGAACCAGTCTTTGTCACGCTTTGCGGTATATCACTCCCAATCTGATTTAGATTGGGGAAGTTGTTGATCGGGAAAGTTATTAGTTAACCCTTTTGTTATTCCATTCCTCGGCTGTCTGTCACAACATCTCATCCAGATACATGTCATTTGGCCCTCCTAGCATTTATCTAAGATGAGCTCATGATCAAATCCTGGATCTTCATTTCAGAAAAAGGATAATCTGTGGTTTGTTTGTTTGTTTGTTTGTTTCATTTTATGTACACTGGAGCCAACATGCCTGTGGAGATTTGGTTCTAAGACCCCACATGGATATGACTAAGTGTGTATGATCACCCTCCCCCTATTATGAAATGGTGGTGATGTTATTCAGTGTTTTGCTTGCATGCTGCTGAATTTCCTGACCAAAAAGTCGGCAGTTTGAATCCAGGGAGCAGGATGAGCTCCCACTGTTAGCCCCAGCTTTTGCCAACCTAGCTGTTTCAAAACATGCAAATGTGAATAGATCAGTAGGTACCACTCCGGCAGGAAGGTAGCGGTGTTCCATGCAGTCCTGCTGGCCAGATGTTCTTGGAGGCATCTATGGACAATGCCAGTTCTTTGGCTTAGAAATGGATATGAGCACCAGCCCCCAGAGTTGGACAAAACTAGACTTTATATCAAGGGAAAACCCTTACCTTTACCTTTACACTAAAGCGTGATCACACTTTAATAAACTGACACCAGTTGAATTTGCAAATATGAAACTTGTGGAACTTAAGGGCCCACTGTATTGGTATGTTGCATATCATTAATGGGTTTAATTTTTCTTATAACTTCTCCCATAGATGAGCTTGTGTGAGGACAACTGTGAACCAGGCTGTGTACACAGACAGGGGCCATTCATGCCACCTAGTGGTTCATGTCCAAAAGTAGTATCTGTAGGGCTGCTATTATTTGGGCATCTGTTGAGCCCATGCTTCAGTAGAGCACCAAGTGCTAGCTCAGGGGTCCTCAAACTAAGGCCCGGGGGCCGGATGCGGTCCTCCAAGGTCATTTACCCGGCCCTCACTCAGGGTCAACCTAAGTATGAAACTACTTGAAAGCACGCAGCAACAACAATCCTATCTCATCAGCCAAAAGCAGGCCCACACTTTCAATTGAAATACTAATTGAAATACTAAGTTTATATTTGTATTCTTAATTTTAATTATTGTATTGTTTTTAAATGTTTTTGCACTATAAATAAGATATGTGCTGTGTGCATAGGAATTCATTCATATTTTTTTCGAATTATAATCTGGCCCGCCAACAGTTTGAGGGACTGTGACCTGGCCCTCTGCTTAAAAAGTTTGTGGACCCCTGTGCTAGCCGATGGATCTTCTGTGTGATTCTTAATCCTTTATTATTGTGATATGTTCAGCCCTGTTCTAAATGTATTTGCAATTCTCAGTCAGTTAGTTCTAATGGGCCACCAATGAACAAATTGGGATTACAAAGATGTAGCCATAGCAGTTAAGGTGATGCAACTTTGTGATGTGAATTGGCCTTCAGCCCTGGTTCAATTCTGAAGTAGTTTTAAATCCACATTTAATTTTCCCCAAACCCTGACAATTCAAAACAAAATCTGGGTTACAAAGTTCATATAACAACAACAAGAAGAAGAAGAACAACAACAACATACTTCATTTATATTCTGCCCTTCTCCCCTAGGGGACTCAGAGCAGATTACAGCATTTACATACACTGGCAAACATTCAATGCCTTTACAACCATATACAATGAGACAGACAAACACAAACAAAACCAGAGGCTTCGCTTTCCATTTCCAGCTTCTGTAGGCGATGCTCATCTCTGGCTCTGGAGAAGTGCTTTTTTCTCCATTTTCAAGCTGCTTTGTTACCTCCTGGTTGTGTGGCTGGCAAGATTGCTTGGAGTGTCTTTTTGCCTATTCCCACTGAAGTGGTACCTATTTATCTACTCACATTTTCATGTTTTTGAACTGCTAGGTTGGCAGGAGCTGGAGCTTACAGATGGGAGCTCACCTGTCTCACGGATTCGAACTGCCAACCTTCAAATCAGCAGTTCAGCCAACCTTCAGGTCAGCAGTTCAGCAGCACAAAGGTTTAGCCCATTGTGCCACTGTGGCCCCAATATAAGAAGGGATTGATCGTTTTATTTCTTCCTGCTGCTTAGTTAGAATCTCTTTAAACATGGTACAGATTGCAGCACTTTTTTAAAAAAATAAAGAAGTAAAATGACTATAAAAGCCACAAACAGTTTTTAAAAACCAACATAGATAAAATGTTCAAGAAACGTACTGGCATAAAATCATAAAATACACTATAGATTAGAAGACTAAAAAAGAGTCACCCGAAACAGAAGCTAAACCAAACTAAGGAAACTAAGATGCAGGTCTTAAGAAATTGTGAGAGAAAATAAATAATTTGGCATGGCATTGAAAAGGCAGCAATATAGGCTCAGATAGGGTTCCCTGGGTGGAATATTCCAAAAGTTGGGGCCATCACTGAAGAAGCCCTTTCATGGCCACCCTCTGATTGTTGTATTGAGCAAGTGGCATTTTACTTCTTGATAAATTCATAGGTATCTGAATGTGATTATGTATAATATATCCTACTATTATGTCAGTACTACTATTTTTACACAATTCTGTTCTGCTCTCATGTGTACTCTAGCTTACAATTTTCTTTCAGTTCTCAGTTTGAATTAAGTGCATGAAATCATTGCCTTGCTTTTCAAAGATAACAGCCTTTCCTAATCTGATACTCATACGCTATCATTCACCAAGCTTCATGAATCTTTGGGATCCACACACACACACACACACACACATTTTGTTTCCTGTCTAGACAGAAAAATAGTTTTGCATAATCTGAAACATTTCCTACTATTTTGGAGCTGTTTTGTAGTTGTATGCCTTCAAGTCGTTTCCAACCTATGGCAACCTTAAGGCAACCCTGTATTGGGTTTTCTTGGCAAGCTATATAGACTTAAGTGTAGTTAGGCCTAATCAAGTGTAGCTGGTGCCTTGTATCTCAATGGGACATTAAATCCATTCTAGCTTTTATTCTAAACTTTAAATACCGTCCAAGGTATCCACAGAACCAATTTTGCAGAAAGGATTCAGCACCTTGGATAGATCCTTTAAAGTTTGGACCAAATCAGAGAGTGAAGTCACCATGCCATGAACATGAAAGTCACCTGAATCCTCTAATAAATATATTGCTTGCTATGTCTTTTGCATTTACTTTTGTTCTTATAGGCCAGTGGTCTTCAACCTGTGGGTCCCCGGGTGTTTTGGCCTACAACTCCAGAAATCCCGGCCAGTTTACCAGCTGTTAGGATTTCTGGGAGTTGAAAGCCAAAACATCTGGGGATCCACAGGTCAAGAACCACTGTTATAGACAGTCATGGCTACTTTGTTTTTGTATTCTCTTTACATAAAGTTCTCAATCATTCTTTTTTCCTGTTCTCTTTTTTTAGTTTTTCCAGATTTGTTCAAAATTATCCCTGCAAGCATCCACGTTAGTGTCATCCTCTTCTGTTTGGTGCTATTAGTATTTGCCCTCATTGGAACAGGGTTCTTCATGTACAATGCCTTTGGCAAACCATATGAAACACTGCATGGTCCTTTAGGACTCTACCTATGGAGCTTCATTTCATGTAAGTCCTCTAGTGCAATTTGTTTTGTTTGTAAACATCTTACCATCCTCCTATTGTCAACATATCAGGAACAGAAATGATGCCTTATCTGGAGATTTGGTGGGCATTGTGCCTGTTGAGCCTATTTTTATCAGGTTTTATACATAACCTATATGTTTATGTGTAAGTCTGGAAATTTTAGTTAAAAAACCAACCCAAGAACCTGATTCAATTTATCCACAGGCCAGCCTTAACTCTTATCAGAAATTGAACTATCCTCTTATCTGCTGTGGCTCTGTTTCTGGCCTTTTATTACCTGAATGAGAAAAAGACATCAGTGGCCAAGGACTGCATCGCTGCTTTGCCCTCTTTACATAATGACCCTTGATGTATCCATAGATCATATCAAAATCCATAATTTTGGCATCCAAATCTGCACTTGATTTATACAGAAGTACAATTTATAAATGGATATATACAGTGTGTGTTTGTGAGTGTGAAATTAATGACATGTTTGCCAAGGATGCCATCCTGCCCCTAAACCAGTGCCTGTCACCAGTGATGAACTGGATGATGGCCAACAAGTTAAAGGTAAATCCAGACAAAACAGAGGTACTTCTCATCAGCTGGAAAGCAGATTAGGGTCTGGGATTACAGCCTGGATGGAGTCACACTCCCCTGAAGACACAGGTTCACAGTTTGGAGGTGATCTGGAGTCATCGCTAACCCTGGATACTTGTCAATAGTGGCCAGGAGCACCTTTGCACAATTAAAACTAGTGCACAAGCTGCACCCATACCTTGAGACACCAGATCTGGCTATGGTAGTCCACATCCTGGTTACTTCCCATCTGGACTACTGCAATGTTCTCTATTTGGGGCTGCCTTTGAAGATAGTTTGGAAGCTGTAACTAGTGCAGAGATCGGCAGCCAGATTGTTAACCGGAGCACCGTAGAGTGAGAGGACTATTTTCATGCTATGGCAGTTCCACTGGCTGCCGATCTGCTTCCGGGCTAAATATAAAGTGATGGTCGTTACCTATAAAGCCCTAAATGAGTTCATTACCACTATCATGTTACCAGTTGTTATTCCAAAGGGTTTGTAATGATACTTCTATCAAAGTTTTTGAAGAAAGAAATTTATACTAGCAAGTTATTTGGAGCTATTTACTTCCAAACTCTGATCTCAGCCACAAACTGTTGTCCCCATTTGGTGACAATGGTATTTTAAAGATAAATAGGCAACACAAGATCTGACATTTGGAACAATTGTCATCAAACATGAAAAATAGAAACCCAGCAGAGAAGGGCTAGTGTATAAACAGTGGCGTGCAGCAAAAACAGGCACCCTGTGTTAATTATAAAACTTTGTCAGAAACAAGCAAATAGTAATTATGTATTTCTGATTCTTTTTCAGTTTCTTGTGGTTGTCTCATCATGATCCTCTTCTCATCAGAAGTGAAAATCCATCACCTCTCCGAAAAAATAGCTAATTATAAAGAAGGGGGATTTATTTTTAAAACTCACAGTGAGCAATTTGCAAATTCATTCTGGATCATCCTGGTGTGCTCATTAGTACACTTTCTGAACATTTTGCTAATACGCCTTGCTGGATTTGCATTTCCTTTTTCAAAGTCAAAAGATTCAGAGACAGCAAATGGAGCAGTCGATCTAATGTATTAGATGGCTTTTGAATCCTATTTTTTCTGCAAATGGGTACCACCAAACCTAAATGGGCTTCAAAGGGAATATAGTAAAAAAAAAAACTCCAAAAGAGAGATACCAGTACACACACATAATAAATTAGTTAAATAACATTTGTATAAGAATTATATTCAATCCTCAAATTACATTATTGAGTATGAGCTTTTTTCATTTAGAAAATACATGGTTGTTGACATAATGTCAAAGAATGGGTTGCATTAAGTGTATTATAGAATCCAAACTAGGTTTCTTAGTCCAGACATTCAGGCAAACCATCTTTTTTCACATCTTCATTTAAAATCTCTTGATGTTATTCTACACACAGAGTCTAGAGCAGACATGGGCAAAATTGGACCCTCCAGGTGTTTTGGACTTCAACTCCCACAATTCCTAACAGCCTAGAGACACACTATATATTAAACCAGGATCTGTCAATTTAGATGCAATGGCAAATCAGTTTGCTCAAACTGCTGTTCCCAAACCAGCTTCAAATCTTGATGATTAGGTCCTTCTTTTGTGGCAATGGGCATACTGGGGTGTATTGGATGAGATCTTTTTAAGCATGAAAGCAAACATGAAAAAAAGGGAAATTCCAGACAGGAAACAATCAGGGCCAGCTAACACCTTCCAACAAAGGATTCCCCCAGACAGGAAGCAGCCAGGCTTTGAAGCTGCAAGGCCATTAAATGTCAAACAAAGTGGCCAATTGCAACATTCACACTTGCCTCCAGCAGACAAGAGTTCTTTCTCCCACCCTGGACATCCCACAGATATATAAACCCCATTTACTTAGTTTCCAACAGACCTCACAATCTCTGAGGGTTCCTGCCATAGATGTGGGTGAAACGTCAGGAGGGAATGCTTCTGGAACATAGTCATACAGCCTGGAAAACTCACAGCAACCCAAACATGAAAACATTTGTTTATCAACCATGACGCATCATGGCAAGCCATATTTTAATATTATGTCACAACTACTTAATTGTTTGTTTAAAATGACTAGAGACCTAGAAGAAAGCAATATGACCGAAGTAATGTAAGAAAATAATAGACCAAAATACGAACTTTTAAAATGGAAATATAGTCATTCCAATAATAGGACGGTATATACCTACATATGTAGAGATAGTGATATATTGGAATTGTTTCCCTTTTTAAAAAAAACATTTTGTGTACGTATATCAAAACAAGAAGTCATCAAGCTCCTAGAAATTTGAAATAAGGCAGCACTGAGGAGAAGAAACTAAATTACTTAAATTTAACAGCTTAAGTGACATCCTGTATTTTACTCCATCAACAGAAGGAAGAAGAGCTGGACGCATGGAACAACCCCTGTTCCCAAAGTCATTCCAGTTTCGGAGTGAAAACATCAGATACCACCTCATACTGTTGTTTCCTGATGTTGAATTACTTCCAAACCAGTCAACAACACTACCAAAGATGTCACTTATGTATGCTTAATGTCAACCTCTGCCAAAATGGAGTAAACCTAACATTTTTGGCCTGTTTTGCTTTCTTTGTTTTTAATTTTGGTATTCACATTTATAAGCTTTGATTTTAGAAGCAGGGTTCTGATTCTCTTGATGTGCAGATAGATGCTTTGAACATTAAATAAATTCTACTCTTCCTAACAGAGCACCTCAGTTGATTGTCAGTGGGAAGCATGGGCTAAGTGAAAGAAGAGAACATCTGTGTAGAAATTTCCAAATAATTTATTCAGTACCTGTTACATTTGATATAAATGAGTGGGAAAATATTTCCCCTACTGCATCCCTGCCATTTCTTTCATTATGTCCTTACCTATTAATCTCACCTCTTCCATTTTTACAAAGTAGTACAGTACACAGCTGTCTCATTTTAGCAATTTGGATCACATCGATCTGTATCAACTCTAGGGGGTGGTGCTCATCTCCATTTCTAAGACAAAGAACCAGCATTGTCCATAGACGCCTCCGAGGTCATGTGGTCAGCATGGCTGCATGGCACACTATTGCCTTCCTGCCAAAGTGGTTAGTATTAATCTACACACATTTGCGTGTTTTTGAACTGCTAGGTTGGCAAAAGCTGTGTCTAATAGCAGGAGCTCACCCCGCTCCCCAGATTCAAACCACTAACCTTCCAGTCAGCAAGTTCAGCAGTTCAGTGGTTTAACCTCCTGCACCACCAGGGGGCCCTACATTGAAAGGGTAATATATATTTTTTCACATGTCCATATATAATCTAGAGATATGTCAAGCTTTAAAGAGTGGGCTGGACACTTCAGGCAGGTAATTCAGATGTCTTAATCTATGTTTAAGATTGTGTTTGGCATTTGTAAGATTTAATGTTTTTCAAAGACAATCCTACATGTATGCACACTGGCAATTCATTTCATACTGCTTTTTATAGCACCATTCCCTTGAGATCAATCAATAGAGGGTGCATCTGCACCATAGAATTAATGCAGTCTGATACCACTGCCGTGGCTCAATGCTATCAAATCATGGAAGTTGTAAGTTTTTATTACAAGGTCTTTAACTTCCTCTGCCAAAGAATGATGGTGCCTCATACTACTAGGCCATGGCAGTGAAAGTGGTGTCAAACTGCATTATAATGTAGGTGCACCCTAAGTCTGTTAAAATCTAAGGCAGTGTTTCTCAACCTGTGGGTCCCCTGATGTTTTGGCCTTGAACTTCCAGAAATCCTAACAGCTGGTAAACTGGCTGGGATTTCTGGGAGTTGTAGGCCAAAACACCTGGGGATCCACAGGTTGAGAACCACTGTTCCAAGGTATGTAGGGAGGGTCAGGGTCAAATAACAATGTACTGTACTTGAAAAGAGAATGCTCCCCATCTTCTTCAACCATCAAACCAATTGGTGAAATTTAATGATGTATCATAAGGAAGCAAGGGATGACAAGTGGAGTCCTCTTGATGATCCACTTGCTCCCTCTAGAGCAGTGTTTCTCAATCTGGAGTCCCCAGATGTTTCTGGCCTTCAACTTCCAGAAATCCTAACAACTGGTAAACTGGCTGGGATTTCTTGGAGTTGTGAACCAAAAACATCTGGGGACCCCAGGTTGAGAAACACTGCTCTAGAGGCACATACTGATCTGATGTTGGGAACTTCAACCTCTTCCCCCGCCCCCCACCACCACTCCACCCCATCTTTTCCAGACTTGCCTGCCTAGAAACACTTAGGAAATGAGGAAGACTGAGACACCACATACTTGATGCATGGTGCCTGGCTGCTAGGACTCTCCCTGTCTCAGAAAGAATATTTCTTGCTACCTCGGAACTTATTGGAACAGACTCCTGATCATCCAGCACTTTGCTCATCTGCTTCTACTGTGAAAACAGATAGTAGAATGGTCTGCAACTATGATTGCCTCTTCTGTGGTATAACCATTAAATACTAACACCTACATAAAAACAACAAAGACAATAAACCAAATCCATTTTTTTCTCACATCGCACTTGCAATGCCACTATTCAAAGAGACAGAGTAGGATAAATATTGGAAAGAAGCTCCTGTGGGCTGACTGTGCACATCTTATGCTGCCTTTTCAAAGGCTGTATCTGCACCAAAGTCTTAAGGCTAATTTGATATGCATTGCCTCAGAGCAATCCAGTTATGTGGGTGGGATTGGGATCTCTTGCAGAGACCACTCAGCAATCTCCCCAGATTATTATTCTAATCTTTTCTATTTAATCATTCAGGTAGCTGCCTTGAGCCACAAGGGATTATATGCAACTGAGTAGGCTGTATGTTGCTCGATGACAGATGGGGTGCTCTGCGTAGTTCCCCTGCTGGATATAGAGAAGGGTATTTTACTCCCACTGAGCCACACACTGAAAGCTAGGCTAGAGGTTATTTCACCAACCCAGAAAGAGAGTTCTGCTTTGGTCAATTTGTCTTACAAGTAAATAACAATTTAAGAGTAGGGAAGCTAATAACCTCTGCGGATTTATTAACAAGGCTGGAATATTTGCAGTTTCTGATAGACAACAAAATGTAAAATTCCCTTGTTTGACATAATAGATAAGCACTGGTGTCAGTTTTGAGAGTACATATACTCTTGGAAGACAGAAAGATGCATATTACTTGTAAAAGAAAAATAGTAACCCCAGGAACAATTTGTTATCATCATAATTACCATATTCTTTCTCATGTGTCCAAAACTATTGTTTAGTTACTCTTTTTAAAAAATCTGAATTTTAAAGGCTGCTGATTGCAATTTGAGGTTCAGTAGGTACAGTATACACAAGCTGGAGTTTTCTGTCCTTGTCAAGTTTATAGCTAGCCTCTGAGAACTGAGAATATACTGTTCATAGTAGCTGTGTCTGTCTACACACAGCTCTCTCATGTGGTCAGCCACTGAATTGCAGGTAATAACTTGTGAAGTATCTTCCAGCTTTGGACTTAATGCAATGTATGTGAATCAGGCAACTGATATTTCAGGGTAGAAATAGCTTTAAAAGCTTCTTGTGCTAGCTAAGCTTTGCTTGAACAACATACCATTCGTGGCCCTGGTATTTTCCTTCATCTTTGATTATTTGTTAGTTTTGTCTCTTAGAAGTACAGTACAATAATGGTTAGAGCTAAAGAGTTGAGGATGCAATACTAATAAATTGAGATACTCTGAGTCCTCCCTCATTTCCTATATAAATGTTTACTCCTAGCTGTCATCTCCCATCGCTTCTCTTTTTAATCACTTCATCTATAATGAAGCAACTTTACTATCTTAGAATGGAGTTCCCATAATAAAAGTATTTAGCTTGTTTCTCAAAGCCATTGTTGCATTTGCTATTTAATCACAATCTCTAATGCTACCTGCATTCTTCATTGATATATTTATTTTGTATTTATTTTGCTTCCCATTTTTGCTTTTTGTGCTACTTCATTCCACACTTTCTGCCCTAACTGAGCTTACATAGATGCCTGTGACCCAGAATACATCCACTGTTGCCCAAGTACTGAAATTACAGGTAATTGCTAGGTTCTCTGAGCTATCACATAATATACATGGCTCCCTATTATGGATTCCTGGGACTTACAAATTTAGGGAGGGATAAGTTGTATTCCCAACCAGAGATGCTGATGAAGCTTCAGGATTCTGTAAGATTCAGTCATGGTGGTTAAAATGGTATCAATTTGTTGTAGTTGTGTAATGTGAAAGGTTCTCTGAGAGAGCGATTCCAAATCATATGGACTGAAATCCAAAACAACTGAAGGACCATTTGGGAATCCCTCTGGGCTAATGCTGGGGTAATTTGTTGGAGTAACTTACTGCTTGATTACTAGCCATGGTCCTGATGTCAAGCTTAGAATTTCTGGGTCGGCACCTGCACTACTGTCCAGGGTCCTGAAATTGCCCCAGTCCAGATTTGTATCAGTCAGTTGGTTTAGAATTGAGCCTTCTTATCTGAGACTTTTAGTCATAGGCTGATGAGATCAAAGATGAAGCAATACATTAGCTACTGTTGTAGATTTTGTCAAATCAGATTAGTGACAAGTACTGGAGTTTGTGGATATTATGAAGACTGGCTGTTTGTCTGTCTATGCCCCATATTTCCTAGAAAGCTGGGATTCGTGATCAAAAGAAATACATGTAAACAATATATCACAAAAACATATATGTCTAAAATGTTATTAAATGGTATATACAGTGTCTCCTTCATATCTAGATTCTAGAATACACACACACACACACACACCTCATAAATGCAAAACTGCATGGATGCACAAGACCCATTATATACAATGGTGATTCCATGAATTTATAGAGTTTTCTTAGGCAAGGAATATTCATATGTGATTTACCATTGCCTTTCTCTGAAATCTAGCTCACAGCACCCAGTTCTTTAGCAGTATTCTGTCCTCATTCTAACCAGGGCTAACCCTGCTTGACTTCTGAGATCAGACATGATCTGATAACTTCAGGATATTTGGACAACAGCTAGAGATTACTTCCTCAGTTATGTGCTGTAGTTAATGAAAGTTGGTTGCACAATAAAACTGAAGTGAACTTCAGTGTACAACCTGTGATGCAAATCATTCAGGAAGGCATGTAAATTTATAGTACATATTTTAAACAATGTTGTTTACCTATTACCACATCACACAGTATATCCCTGGCAGGCAGAGAAGTGTTGACATTTCCACAGAAACGACAGGGAGGTGCTAACTTTACAGGCAGCTAGACAGCAAACTACAAATCCAACTTTTACCTGCATAAAGAAAGGAAAATCTGATGGCTCTCTTTGATGTGGAATGGTAAGAAGGAAAAGGAGAATTAAAGGGCTAATAAGTGAGGACAATTAGAAAGACAGCCAGACAATAAAGAAAGTATGGATAGATTGTGCTTGAAGCATATAGTAAATTGAACCTTTCTAATAGGAGACTGTTGTGTGCCTTCAGTTCATTTAAAATTATGGTGACTCTAAAGTGAACCAGTCTGGAGGGTTGCCTTGATAAGATTTGTACAGAATATGTTTGCCCTCAAGTTGGGAGTGTATGACTTGCTCGAGGTATTCAGTGACTTCTATGGCTGAGAGGGGATTTAAATCCTGGTCTCCAGAGTCCAGTGCTCAAACCCTGCATCATGTTGCTACTTCATAGGAAAGAGTATGAAGCAGAAAGCAATATTTAT